CCTGACTAAAATGTCAGCCGTTCAGCCACAGTCTCAGCTTAGTTTGCTTGTGATGTTACTCCTCGGCTCAGAACTCAGTCCTCTCAGCCCACGGACCAATCCCAGCAAGACTGTTGCTGTTGTTTTCCAACCACATAATCTAAGCCTTTGTCAGAGCCACGCTCTCATCCTTGTGTGAATAGTTTTGATGAAAGACACATTATTTCCAAGAAGGGTAGAGGCTGGAGGGATTTTAGGGGAAGTCTGGGAGTTTAGTCTTGAGCCTAGTTAGCTTGTGGGTGCAAGTTTGAAAATGTAAGAGATTAGTTTAATCAGCTAGCAGGTGGGTTGAAGTATGTGGGGTTTATTCAGAAGGTTGTTGGGAGATTAGCCTAGTTGCTGGCTGCTGTGTGTAGGTTGAAGTCTCCTGGGTTTTTCTGATGACATTTGTCATGCCACCGCTGCAGGCTGGAGCTTAAGATGCGAGCTAATCCATCAGTGCATCGGATGTCTTTGACAAGCTTGTATGTCTCTTAGGAGTCTTGTTCTTGTCAGTTTTATGAGGCTGCTCATTTCCCCCTGAATTATATCTCCAAGCTTGCCAATTACCCCAGCAGAAAATGAAATCCATATTTTTCTCTCTGAATTAACATATCCGTGTTACAAGAGGGAGAATGTTCTCATACATGCTAACACACTGACTGAAAGTAAAATAATGAAATGTGTGACTTCTTTATTCTTCCGTTGTCTTATGGCTGCTCTTTTGATATCACTGACACCGGAAGTAGTTCACACAAATAAACCACCACCACTTCTGCTTTAGGGAGTTTCAGAAGAAAGTCTTATAGACTGTTTCTGGTAAATTGTGACTCGCCTTCCTTAGAAAAGAGCCACTGTGTCTGGGACCAGACTGCAGCATTTATGTTTCTTTATTCATGTTCAGTGATGCCAGATTGCTTTTAGCTCTCTTTTCTCCTCACATACAATCTTTTATCATCCTTCACTTAAAGAAGATAAGGGCCGGTTTATCTTGGCATACCATATAAAGCAGGGGCTCAAGTAGAGAAGAAACATACACTAATTGAAGTAGTATTAGGATATTATATAATCAGTTTGTTTTTATTGGTCAAAAACCAACTTGTCGTACCAGTCTCAGTAAGGCTGTAGTGAAAGCAAAAACATTTTTAAAAGGTAAAAAAACGATATTATTCTTTTTTTTGTTGATCAATACAATTTAAAATTACATCCCCATTGCTGAATATGAAATGTCAGTTTGGTTTAACTTTCATAATAAATAAAAATAAAAATGCAGGCTCAGGAGGAAACACATCGTTCTCTTGAACACTTTGGTCAAAAAAAGGCCTTAGATGCGGAAATCTAACAACATGGGTTTCACTCTGGCTCAAACACACAGGATGTTTGTCTTGTCAGCCTGTAGTGTTTCCAGTCAGTCTTTGTGTCTTCTATGAATTTAACCTCTCGTCTTCCTGTCTGCTACCTGTCCTCTGCATCTGTGAAGTAATTTCATTTCCTCTCTTGCGTTATGTATGAATTGATGTATTCCCCCCAAACTCCTGTCAGAGGCGCCTTATCTGAGTAACCTTGGCATTCTGAGCAACGAAGAATGAACAAAACTCATTTTGTCCTTACATCATTGTGCTCTTATTTTTTGACTGTGGTTAAGGCCCTCAGAATAATATTTGCTTCAGGTGGTAGGCAGGCAGAGACAGTGATGGAGTACGTGTGACTGAGAAGACAGATGGAGGTTTTCTTTTAAGGCCAGCAGGGAGGCACACATTACCAAAGGTGACGCTCTCAGCCATTGAATCATCTCACAGTCACATCTGCTCACCTTTCACACAATATCAGCTCTAGTGCTCAGTATTTGCTGGCTCAATGAAATCAAACAGTCAAAACGCATTACTACAAAGACATCTATTGGCGGTGAAGTAACATTACCACTTTTAACTGTTAATTGACTTGGTTCATACAGCAGATTACACTGCATCAGATCAAGCGCTTACTAAACTAAAAGACAGCTACCAGATGGTGATTGAGATGTTTTGACTTTGCTTTTGGTGAAGGTTAAGCTAGATAGTAGAAGCCTCTTGAAAAACGTCAAGTTTAGAAGAATATCGTACAACAGAGAGCACATGGTCAAGTTGATAATGCTTTCAGTGAATAAGAGCTTTATTTCGAGTCTTATTTTCATCAAGATCTTATATAATTTGATATATGTATTTTGCTTCTAGGGCACTGTACTAGTAAAATGTACGGCTGTGTGATTGTTCTGTTAAATACAGTTCGTCGTTTTCTACTCATACATTTGTCTGACATTGGTCTGTTTAGGTGCTGTTAGTTTAAATGATGTCCAAAGGGTGCTTGTTGAACTTCCCAACGTAGATTTCCTCTGTCTCTTGATATCCCTTTCTTCTTCCTGGCATTTCCAGCCTGTTGCTCTTGTTATATTCGTTCTCGTTGCTCTCTTGCTGAATTACTGTGACTAGCTCTCGCTCCTTCTCTCAAACACTACAATCCTCTAGAGACGGCACTTCAGATCATCCTCTATGTAAATCCATGAAAGAAAGGCAGTCTTCTCTGCACACCTCCACTGCTCAAGGTTTCTATGGTGAGCGTGTGTAATGAGGTGGAATATTTAGAGCGTATGGGGAGAGGTGAACAGTTGGTACAATTGGTTTATCACTCAACAGCAAGGATGAGTAATCTAACTAAGTAACACTTCTGTATCACTTACAAAACGACAAGTCTTACTCTAATGTTCACATGAAACAAGTAACTCGTACAGGTTATCAAATTCATATCAGACCCTTCAGATTAAAGCCTTGACATAATAGTATTAGGTCTTTACTGTACCTGTGTGTCTCTGGCTGCTACTTGGCTAGAACCTGATGTTATTGGTTTCTAACTCCCAGCCCATCATCACTGCTTTAGAGACACATGTTGTTTCCCTTCACTTGGTCCACTGCCCAAAGATGGACAATATAAAGAAACCCAGCCTGCATTATAAATGTGTAGTTATTTAGTAACTGTGGCTGTGAAGTGTGGTAGTCCTTCATTCGGAGGGTTGTGGGTTCAATCCCAACCCCGACACTCAACTTGTCTATGTATCCTTGAGCAGGATACTGAACCCAAAGTCCCGATGGCCCACAGTGTGTGAATGTTAGCTGTTCCTTGAGCAAATGGAACATTGCTCTATAAATGGGGTGTGAATGGGTGAATGAGGACTTGTAGAGTGCTTTGAGGGGTTGTAAAGACTGGATAAAAGGCTTTATAAATACAGTCCATTCACCATTTACCATTTATTCAAGAAAGAAACATTTGTAGATCTTCAGTCTAAAGCTCTCACAGCTGATACATTTCGACATTTCAAATAATGTTCTTATCTATAATTGCATAATGGTTTTTCATATAGAAGCTCTAATGCTTGCATTAAAGATTTCATTTGCGGGGTGAATCAGTGTGTCAGTCTTGTTTCCACGGTGTACCTTGCTTCTTTAAAATGCATGCTGGGAAAGGCAGTAGCTTCCCAGAAACCTTGATTAGGATAAGTGGTTTACAGGAAAGATGGATTTATTTTGCTTCTTTCCTTTTTGTTGTCTCCATTTTGTTTCTGTTAGTCACCAAAATGTATTTCCTGTCATCTTTGAAATGTGTAAGTGGGTAGAATCATATGGGGATTAACAGCATGCAGCAGATTTAATGTTTCATCGGGACAGATGTCTCATCTTCATTTCAAAGCAGGGAGTGACAACACTCCAGTGGCTTCTCGAAAATGCGAAGGTGCTCTTTGGTATGAACATGCAGCTGTTCCCGAGCACAAAGAAGGATGTTTTATGACATCTCTGCTTTGATATGCTTTACTGGAGGGATAGGGGAGGTTCCAACAAACTATGAAATCTACAACTTCACCGGCACAAATAACAACACCGGCTCTCGCTGAGATGCCACTCTCAGACTTTGGAAACAAAACTCTGAATCGTTCAGTTCTCTGATTTTATCTGACCCTCCTACTGCGCCACAGTAATCCCATTCTTTGACTTCCTGTCTGCTCTTTGCTCTCTCTCTCTTTCTCTCTCTCTCTCACTGTCTCTCTCTCTCTCTCTCTCTCTCTCTCTCTCTCACTGTCTCTCTCTCTCTCTCTCTCTCTCTCTCTCTCTCTCACTGTCTCTCTGTCTCTCTCTCTCTGTGTTGTTCTTCTCTTGTCTTTGTGCCCCTCTTTGTTCTGCGGTGTAGCGTTGCCACACTTGCACCAATTAGCTCTGATGGAGAAAACTGCTGTTGCTGACAGCAGCGAGACTGGCGGATGGTTTACACGGAAAAAACCTCTCTTTCCTCCCCACCCTATAATCACACCCACAGACTAAGGGGAAAATACTTTCTGTCCCTCTCTGTCTTTGTCTCTCTGTCTCAGCGGACGGGTGTGAGTTACGGGTTTGAGTTTATCACAGATCCAAGGAGCAGCCCACACCATGGGTGGGATGTCATAATGACTGTGTCCGAGTTGGCTTAATGTGTTAGCACTCTGCAATATGCGCTTAATGCACTTTTGTAGAGGCTTGTTTTTTCTTTGTCATGGACTTCTTGGTCGTTTGTGCTCTTGGTGACAAATTAGTATTTTGTCATTCCTTTTTTTCTGAGATAATTAAGCTGCTGAAGCATGAAGCATCAATGCAGCACAGCTGAGCACTCACTCTGTGCATTATTTGCTACATCAAACTAAAAATAATAATCTACAGAGCTTCTGTTTCACGGCTAAACTGTGGATCTCTGTCTTTTGGCAGAGCACTCGCATTACTGAAAGATTTAGAAGAAAACTGTTACACTATTTTATTTCACTCAATATCATCTTCTTTATCTAGGTCTTTCTTTTCCCGTTCAAACTCACCCTGAATTACTTCTTTCCTTGTCAATATGGAGTGCTACTCTGGCAAGTTTTATAGTATCATCAATTCAACAGATTCTGTCTTTCCCCCTCTCCCTCCCCCTCTCTTTCACTACAGTGTTGTATAGATAACTACGAGGAGATGGTGAAGATCCTGCTGGACCGAGGCGCCAGCGTCAACGCTCAGGACAACGAGCTGTGGACGCCGCTGCACGCCGCCGCCACATGTGGACACGCAGGACTCGTCAAGATCCTCATCGCACAGTAAGACACACAGATGCACTACAGCAGGGTTTACTGCCACACAAGATGTTTAATCGGTTTGATTTGGATTATATTTGATACCTTATTGCTTTATTTTGATTGTTGTATTAGTGGTCCTATTGTTTTTATTGTTTGATTTTTTTCTTGATTCTATTGTTTGTTGTTTTTTACGCTATAACGCACCTTGAAAACCGTCTTTTGCAAAGCTGTTTTATTAATAATTTTTTATTGAATTTATGATCATATTTAAATAAAGAGCAACTTAGTCAGAAATAATTATAAAACGACAACTGTCAACTGGTAATATAACTAGAAACAACATCTGAGATTTTGTTGACAAGTTGAGCAAAGTACAGTACAAGTAAACAACTCGATAATGCGGATGTTTAATAAAAAACTAGACGAAGTCAGTTTGATAATCAACACTCGACTGAACGTTTAACCCGAGAGTCTGCTTTAAGTCGAAGTTAATTTAGAGTGCGTATTGACCAGCTGGATCAATGGCAGACATCAGACTGAATTATTGTGCAATGCTTGCCGCTTCCAAATACCAATTAACAACACACACACACACACACACACGCACACGCACACGCACACGCACTAGCACACGCACACACACACACACTGAATCAACAGGCATATTTACCAGCTGTCACAGCGACACTCGTATAGTTGTGACCTTGCAGAATGTAGGCAGAGGAAGTCTTGAGTCTCTTCCCCATTTTAATTTAGCTCTGTCTGTGTGTGGTCAGATTGTGTTTTAGTGATATCATCACAAGTGTGCAAGAGGCTTTCAGGAAACTTTACAGCTACTGTACACTGTATGTAGAAGATGATATCAAAGTTGTGTATCAATGTTATTTTTCTGATCAGTATACTGTGTGTCAGGCAAATGTATAAAAACGAATATGAAATATTATTGATAATTTCACTGGACTGTTGCATCAGATCAAAAAATCTGGTTCAATTACATTTTGCTTGGCCTCTTTTAGACAGCAGAAACTGGTGAATATGATATTATAATAATCAATAAAGAGTAAATTGAATTATCTCAGAGCCCTAGGACGATTTATGTTTTTGGCTTTTATTTGTTTTTTAATTGAAATGTAAATCACAGTTCAAAAATACTTGGTTTATCAGAAGGAAAAGTGTCCTGAAGTGTTTTTTATTTATTTTGTCTGAAACATTCACACATAAACATGTAGGATAAGAGCTGTATAGAGTTGCATGTTAATTGGGATTTAATTATTACCCTATAATGTAATAGCATGTACACACAAAGAGAACAATAAGGACTAAATGAAGATTATGTATGCACACCTATGAATGTATACACACACACAGACACACACACACACACACACACACACACACGCACGCACGCACGCACGCACGCACGCACGCACACACATTATTCAGACACACTGCTGCCACCTGTTGACAGACAGGACTTGTCGAGCCACTCATCGTATCACTTGGACCCTGATTGAAAACAGATGAATAATGCCTTCTGAAGATTTTAATTAGCATGGTCACTTAGTGCTCCGACTGAGGTTTATTTTCTCTAACTCTGTGAGTTATGGATCAGATTTGTTTTTCAGTTTTTCTTTGGAACTGTCAGAATATGAAATACAGGCCTGTTTAATACAAGGATTAAATGTGTTGTCCATATAAACAAACAAATTATCTGACAACAGGACATGATATATCAAGCTGTCTAATATTTTGGTCTTTTTTTTATCAAAAGTTTGTCAATGTTTTTTACTTTGTGTCTATTTGGCTCACATATGATGCCTTCAAATGCAATTTATTTAACCACATATAATCCTCATGTTTGCCTTGTTAAATGATGCATATTCAGAGAATGTACTAGCCTATATGAAATAAAAATGTGTTTTGTAAGTGTTGCTCATGTATTTGGTTTTCTCCCACAGTGGTGCAGATTTGCTGGCAGTCAACTCTGATGGCAACATGCCGTACGACCTTTGTGAAGACGACCCAACACTGGACATCATCGAGACAGCTATGGCCAACAGAGGTACGGAATAAATATTCAGAGAGAAATCCCAACGCAGACACCAGGCTCCATGGACAGAATATTTAGGCTTTTGCTCTCAGTTGATAAGCACTGTTTTTTTTTTTTGCTTCTTCAAAAACTTTTATAAAGATATCATAATCATAAAAGATCATAATATCTGTCATCTGATTATTGCCATCATGGGGAGTATGCTTTTTACTTTTTTTCAATATTATGGCAATTCAATTGAATTTATACCAATTATAATTTGACCATTTAATCATCTGTAACCCTTCCAACCACAAAGGGTTTCAGAGCCCTATTGGTTCCTGCAGACCACTGTATCTCAAGGTGAAGAGGTGGGAACATTCAAGTTGAATTTCTCTTTTCCTCTCTAATCTGAATTCAGTTGTCGTCACATGACTGTTGGTCTTAGCCAGAGTTGAGCCTAGAAGTGCAGAATTTAATGTTTTTATTTTTTACATGATCTGCTGATTGCAAACTATTTATTTTTGGCAACATTTTAAAAGACATGTAGAATAAAGTGATTTTGATGAAATATCACAACTTTAACCGAGAAGTATAGTCTTATAATTCTTACTTAACATAAACTGCAGGACAAAGGAGCTATTGTCAATGTTTAAAGTCTATGGACGACAAGAACAGATTGTTGAGGAGGATGGTGTGCTCAATGGAAGTGTGTGTGAGAGAGTTTCAGGATGGACACTCCAGGAAGCTTTTGGGGTATTCACAGTTCTCTCACGCCGGATCTGGTGCAGATTGTGAGACTATATATATTCATGCTGTATCACTAAACAAACACAGTCTGTACAGTTTGCCTGCGTGCCGTGACTGAGAGTTCAAGGAGATCAGCACCGACATACATCAGTGAGGGGAGAGGGGAAACTCACGCTGTTGTCAAGAAGTGTTCACATTTCTGCCTGTGTTTGTGTGATTCGATAAAAACTGTTGCAAAGAGACTCGGATGTGACAGACAGCTTTATTTACACTAGAGTCAAATCACACCCCGCCTTCTAAACATAAGCTCTTGTCAATGTTTTGTTTTTGTTTTCTAGTAAGCAGTTACATCTGCAGGCTGCCGTGTGAACACACAGTTGGAGACAAATCAGCAAAATCTGTGGCTGCGGGGGCTTTGGGTGCAGAGGAGTGATGCAGTGTGAAGGCACTGACTGGCAGCTCAAATGTGGTCTGATTAAATGAATAGTTTAATATTTTAGGAAAGAATCTTATTAGCTCTTTGTTTAGGAGTTAAAAACTGCTGTGTGGATCACCATTCACTTTTTTACAGGTGAATATGTGGACTATTTCTCAGGTTTGGACACAGATTTAAAAAGAAAAAGAACACAAGGTTATTGAGGGAGCTTTAGAGATGCTGGTAGACAAATATCGTAGTTTTTTCTGGTAGGTCAGGCTATCTTTTTCCCTTGTTTCAAGTCTTTGTTCTAAGCTAAACAGCTACTGGCTTTAGTTTAATATTTAACGTATTAAGATCCATATCAATTTTCTGCTTAGAAAGATTACACCTTGAAAGAAAAATGTTGGTACATCCTGACGATGGTTCATACTAACTGTGCCCTCACCGCCTCTGTTGTACTCATTAGGGAAACATAGCCTCCTCAAAAGGATGTAGGGTTAGGGTCAGCTTATTCCAAGTGAACTTTTGACAATCTATCCTAACCTTCAATGCCTAACATTATCTTGAGAGGGTTTCACAAATGGAGGGTAACCATCTAGCCACGACCAAATTAGCCCCCTATATTAGCTTTGGTAGGAAAATGGGACATTTCACTTATCTTCACTATCGGCTGTAACTCAATAAAAAAAAAAAGCCAGCCATTACAATCTACCATGGAAGAAAAAAGGCAAAAAGAAGCGAGGCACAAAGACTACTGTTGAGAGGCTCCTGTCCACAGCTTTATTTATAATCGTTGTGATGCATGTCAACAATGTTTTGAATGTGGATTTCTTCTGGAACAGGACCTGAGGTTTTTAGTTTTCCTTTAGGGATGTACTTCTGGGGGCAACTTGTGGCTTACCAAACTACCGTCTTATTCATCTTTTTGCTGACAATATTTTAAGCGTTAGCAAACAAGGGAAGGTAGAATAATAGAGGAATGTTCCATGACCAAGGTGCCCTTCAGCCTCAAAGTAAGTGCTTCAGTGGAGCTGCTCAGAGGTAAACAGGAGGCAACTGTGTGGAAGCAGGGTGCTGCTGAGGGGCATTATGGGAGCTCAGTCATATTTCCCTCGACAATTAAAGGAGAGAAAATATGTGTTATGGTAAATACTGCACCACTGCGACGTCTATAATTGTAACAGTTTAAATAGAGCACATTGTGAGGGTTGCTTTCTAGATGTGAGATGATATTGGAAAGACAAAGAGAGAGAGAGGCTGGGGGATGGAGAGGGAAAACAGAGAGCGCCTAAACATGATGTTCACCGTTTACTATGTGATCTCTGGAGCAGCAGAATGCAGATATGGGTACAGTAGGTGAGAAGCATGATTATTAAGCCGATCAAAGGGAGCGCGCTGCTGCTAATTGCTCCTCTAATGTTCACTGCACTGTTCTGCTGGATAAACCTCCTCTCTCCAGAGACACCTCAGGGATGGGCACACCGCCACTCTCTTTCCCTCACACACACCTGCATGCACCCACACACACAGACTCAATATGCAGCATCAACTCTTCCTTGATCCTCCCCCCCTGTTGATACAGTTCATCTGTGATGATACGCAGTGATACCAGAAATACATTTACCTGAAACTGGATTGGGGAAATAGAGTGGGGGGTGCAGAGCAGAACAAACACACAGCTGATGGCATTTTGCTCCAAATGTAATCGACCACTTAATAGTATTTAATTCTAAAATCTTAAATTCATGGATAAATATTAATTTGTTCCGTAATTTTTATTATGAAATGTATGATTATTTGTTTCTTGAAACTTCTCACATTTAAGGGTTTCCTGATTTTCTGTTTTTATGATTATAATTAATAATAAATTCATAAAATAATGTATTGATATAGTCCACTATAAGAAATAACTCAATCCTCACGTAACATTTACGGTTATTTGAACAAAACAAAATCAATTTGCTGACATCACTTAGAAAAAGGAAAAAGAGGGTTAATAATACAAATCTAAATAATCCTAAATTGCAGTCCATATAAGATTTTGGGCCACCAGCTCTTCCAAGTGAGCCACAGCATCACATTTTGAGATAAGACTTTTAGTCAAATCCCCCAAAACATACCTCATTAAAACCTACATTTTGATAGTAGAGGTAATTGAGATTGTATAACTCTAAAGGTACCTCCTGTTTTGGGATTGGCTGTTTGTTAAAATACTTACAGAGGGGAGTTGTGTGCTAACTATGCCGCCATCTGTGAAAAAATCAGCCTTTTAAATGTGTTGCTGCAGGACAACACTACACTTTAGTTTAGAAAAATATGTTTTGTAATCAGATATTTTTTTCTTATTTATGTGATGTGAACATTGACAGTTTTTTTGTTGGTTAACTACATTTTGTATTATGTGACAATGAGTCTGCATGCTATAATAAACATGTTTAAATCCTTTGGGCCATTGTAATGCTGTGGGGAATCACTGTAGCTAAATCAAAACCTTTCGGAAACCAAAGGCGCGGATGATTGCCAGCAGAAACAACAGAAAACAGAACAACATAGCTGGAGGGGTGCATTTCATCTAAGACGTCAAATGGGATTGTTGTGGTACTGATTCCTGCGCCTTCACACACCTTCGGGCTGTGATTCTGAGTGTAAAGAGAGAAGTACCGGTTTACCTTCTCAACATTTTTCAGAACCCCAACCAACACGTAGATAACACTAAAACAGCAGCCTGACTTTAAAGTGACGGGCTGCAGGCTGAGAGGATAGATCTGCCTTCAGCTCTACTCGCCAAGGTTCAATTTATACCTCTGTGTCAAGATAAAAGGTCACAGGGCTGAAATACTGACGATAACATATGCACAGTCACGTGATGCTTGTCTACTTTTTATCTCATGTTTAAGCAGACAGTTTCTGGGGATTGTCTCCAATACTCCTCAAAAATGTTATGCTTCTAATCCCTGTGAATATTGTAACTATTATTTCCTGGTGCTGTCACTTTTACTTAAAACGGAAATCTAAATATTTCTTTTATTTTTTATATTAAGGAATCTTATTTCCATTCACACTTCTTGATTTGTTGTAGTTTAAGTCATTCACATATCCAACTCTAGCAATAATATAGGAGTCACAGTTCTGGCTGTTTTCCTTATTGTTAATCTGGCCTTTATTTAAATGTGCCGTACGGGACGTTACTGCTGAGCTGTGGGGGGAGAAGAGGAGTGAGGCGGTCACAGGAGTGAGGCGGTCACAGTACTACTGAGTCCTACCTGGCAGCTATGCAGTGGATTAAAGGAGGAATTTAGAGCAGCTGTGACAGACAGAATCACCTGAGCCTCAACCGGCCTAACACCTCGACACTGTTCGGCACAGGATGGTCAGAAGGCAGCGTGAGAGCAAACTACTGTGAGGGAGAAAAGAGAGGACTGATTTTTCTAAGTGGCAGATATTTGAGATCCATAAGCTGAACTGTAGGCAGCTCCGTTTTAATTGACCTGTGTTTCCAAGTAATTCCAAAAAAAATGAAGAAATGATTTGAAAATAAACTATTTCCTTCAACAATTAACTTTATTAATGTATTTTTATTAAGAGTGTGGCTATTATAGAATGCTTTTTAAAAAAAGCAGTGCTTATTAATCGAAAATATAAGATTGCAGCTAGTGCAATATTCAAATCAAACGAAGCAAAACAATTTTAACGTTTTCAATTAGCATTTTTTATGTAGTATTGGTGAGCTCCAGAGATATCCCAGACTACAAATTATATTCGAGCAACTTACCAAAACATATTTGTTTGGTGCAAATCCTCCTCAAAAATAATATCATGATGATTTTGAAATATTCTTCAGTAAGGGTGAGAATAATGATGCAAAAAAAGGATCCATCCCTCCTATATTGTAATAGAAATATCATTCAAAATTATCAAAATTAGGTATTTTTTCAAATCGTGCAGCCCTAGTCCGCTCCAGTAAAACTTATTTCAAAAGCTTACAATTGTTTAATACTTGCTGAGAAGCTTTTATCAGGGACCTCGTGAACCGTTGCTTGTAGAAAACCTCCAGTGTAATTTAAAGAAGATGTTCCTGTCAATCCAGGAAATGAGTTTTTCTGTATAACTTTTTGAAGTTAGTTTGATAAAGAAGCATTGTGTCCCTGTCCGTTATACCCAGCTTGTCTTAGATCAGTGATAAACTCGCTGCGTATCAAAGCTGCCAGGAGGAAAAACGCTCCGCCTTGTGATTAAAGCTGCGGTTCTGCTTGTGCGTTTGATTGACAGGCATCACCCAGGAGATGATCAACGAGACACGAGCCGCTACAGAGAGGAGGATGCTGGGAGACGTGCAGGAGCTGATGAATCAGGGAGAGGAGGTCAACATGCAGGACTCTCAGGGAGCCACTCTGGTGAGCTCCGGTCATTTCAACTTTCTCTACAGGTCTGGATTTAAAGCCAGCTGACCTGTTTTTATAAAGTTATTTTTTTAGTATTTACAGCTATGAGAAATGATAGCAGAGTCCAAATGTGTCCTCTTCTAGGACCTGGGTATAAGGAAACTGCCAACATCAGAACACTAATACAATACAATTACATACAAAAGAATAAAGGAGAAATAGTGTATTACAGGTTTTTTTGTATTGATCTTTTCAAATGTATTTGTAGGGGACCATGTACAATACTTATATTTAAATCAGTTTTAATACAGTTTTTGTTTAAAAAAGGTTCAAAGAAAATAAAGGTACTCACTACAGTCAGCAACACAGATTGTTTACTTTATAGCAGCAGCTTGTGTTGTCAGCAGACGGGGATCTTCCATAGATCCAGGACGTAAGTGTGCATTGACACTTAAAGGTGACCTATCATGTAAAATGCACTTTTGTACGTCTTTTATACATGAATATGTGTCCCCGGTGTGTCAGGGAACTCACCAAGTGTCAGAAAACACAACCCTCTCTCTTTTCCTCCATACCCAAATCTCTAAAAAAGGGGCTGCAACGGATCTGATACAGACTGATCCAGATTTGAACACTTCTGTGACGTCACAGAAGTGGCGCTACGGCTATTGGGCCAACTCCACCAGCAACGGACTTTGCCGTTCGAAAGCGCAGGAGACGCTGTAGTACATATGCCAGGCCTGTAGATGGTGCTGTTCTCACAGAATCAGCCCATGCAAAGACAGTGTTAAATTGAGCGAAATGAGGAATGGCTAAAATGTATGATCTGTTTGGTATTTTGAAAAATAAAAAGTATAAATATGCCTTATATAGGTATGGTCCTACAATATATTATTCAAATAT